TCGTGGTTCTCTTCATCGTCCCGCGACCACTCCTTTCGGCTTCGGCGTCGATGAGGAAACCGTTCGAGTCCTTTTTGTTCTTCTGCATAACTCGCGGCCACGCCGGGAACAGGTGTCCCGCGGTGGCCCGCAGGACGTGACTCGCTTCAGGACCCTTTTTCCAACTTATACAACGAAACGTTTATCATTCCCGCCGCTACCTCATCCTCCCACCCCTACCACGTTCGTGTCCGATTTCGATCAGCGAATCCTCCGTCCACGGTGGCAAGTGGTCCCCGTTCTGACGTCTATTTAGGCGCGGTTTTTAACCTGCCAACCCTGGCAGACGAGCAAACTCGTCGGCTTTAGAAAGTTCCTATCGCCGTTCCGTGTTTTCTCTTTTCCATCGTTGGATCGCTCGAGATAATTGTATTAATATTACTCGGGTTTATCGTGGGACATCTCGTTTGTAGCTGTTGTTATTCGTTGAAATTGAGCCCGTGTTATCCCTGCTAAAGAAATCAGAAGGTTAGTAAGGCACGCGACGGGCACGACGACTACAGAAACATCGCACTCGCGTTCCGGAGCCTCCGGACAAGGTGTTTCCGACTTTGCACGAGTTATCTCGGCCCTTATGCAAATTTATTCCGAACATTCGTTTCCAATCAAGGTGAAAGTTTAGAGCGCTGGCAGACCTCGTATAGTAATTTTCAATACACGTTTCATTTCAGCACACTCACCCTTCGATCGCATCTTCGCGCGATCCAACGTCAAGAAATTCTGCAATAAAATTACAATTGCTCGTTACAAAGAATTCGTAGAGCACCGTTATTTGAAAATATTTCAAACTATTCTCTTCGGCGAAGAAAAGAAATTTCAACCGAGAATAATTTCGAAAGCTCTAAATCCATTCGCACGTAACATCGCGTCCGAATGTTAATTGAATCGACCTGTCGGCTTCCTTCGGGCCGAGTTCGCGTTGTTTGCACAAGGATGCTTCTGGCTTTCGTTCCGGGTGCGATTCATCATCGGAAGGGTTAATCGGGTCGCGGCGGAGGCCCGGTTTCGGTTCAACGACTCAAGGATCCGGCGTAGCGTGGAAGGATCCAGCGCGAACCGCAACGTCTCCCATTATCGAGCAGCAATCGTTTGCTCAACAGGTCGATCGATCTATTTTATGCGTCAGAGAAGAATGCCAGCGTCATCTGTTCCCATTTCATTTTCGATGCTGACGTGCTATTCGTCGACACGGGTAACCAATCAAGACTACAGACGAAACTTGTTTAAAAGTTGAAATTCTTGTTCGAGACTCGTAATACAGCAACGCGAGCTACACGCGAGCCTCGTCGGGATTGTGAAACGACCGCCTCGCTTGCTCGCGCAGGAGCCCAGTTTCCAGTGAGTTCGTCATCTCTGCGACCATCGTAATCCTCGGTGGTTGTCCTAACGCTTTTTCCCGCGACCGGCGCTCTCTCGCCGGCGAAACCGATTCGAAAACTCTCTCGACGGCGCGGCGGCGGACTCGCGTCCCGTGAAATTCAACGCGGCGGCTGGTGGCCGTCGCGTCGCGACACACGGCCACCAACGCGCTTTCCGTCGCGACGGAATACTAATTACGGCAATTCAGAACGCTGGACGTTGCTAATTAGAAATTAAGATAGCCGAGTCGCCGCGCTGTTTTACAATTGCCCCGTGACGCGGTCGACAGAATGAACAATTAAGCCCGCCGCTGTGTCGAAACTTTCTCTCCCTCCCAGCTAGACCGATTTTGACCTCGGGGTAAGGAACCTGGGACACGCGAGCACCGCGGCGAATCGAGTCCTCTACAAACTCGGATCCGCACTTTGCCAGAGTTTTCTATTTAAACGACCATCCTTTTTCCTTCTTCCTTCTTCCTTCTTCCTTCGTCCTAACGCGAGTACTGTCCCGACAACATCTCTTCACGGCGTTATGATTTAAACCTTCAGTTTTTGCCGATCCTCTCTCTCTCTCTCTCTCTCTCTCTCTCTCCAAGCCCGGGGCGCTGCGTTTAAAGTATCTAACGGACAAGACAGCCCTACCTTCTCCCCTCGGGGGATGAGAAATTATGCTCGGAATCGACGAGGTCCAAGGGGGAATAAATTCCGCGACGATTAAAGCTAAACGAATGGTCGGTCAGCGGCACGATAATCGTCGCCGGTTGTACGCGCCCGAACCGCTAATTGTCGTTACACAACGCGCGTCCGAGCGTCGTCCCTATTAATTAGAAAATCCGATATTCAACGCTATCGAACGTTCGGCTCGCTCGCCTGGTAATTGGCCGGCGGTAATGTCATTAGCACCGCGGAGGTCCGCGCGCGGCAGTTCCCTGTTCCATCGGGACGAAATAAAATTCTCGCGATTCAAATGGACGCGACACGCACGCGTACACCGACGTTCGAGAGCCGTTCACAGCTTGTTACGCAATGTACGTGCATTAACGGACACACTCGAGGGAACCGAGAGAAACTCATTAGTTTCATCATCCCCGGACGATGTGGTGTGTGCACGCTCGCTCGCGCGGCCCCGCGAGCGGTACGCCGCGCACGTATACACGCTCCGAGCGGCGCGGGTCGTCGCTCTTCTAATTGCATATACAACGGGCCTCGTTCAAATCAAGTTTCCGTCGAGCACGGCTTTCTATCCTCGGGCGTGCTGCTCCGGCCCCGACAAAACCCGACGGCTCGCCGACGAATCGCGCGGAAGAGTCGCGTTTTCAACGCCCCTCGTTACCGGTAGAGTACACCGCCGCTCGGATTATCCGATTTAATTAGCAGACTAACGGTCCAGGTGGACGGAGGCTGTGCAAGAGATTCTTCGAGGCGACGAATCTGTGAACCCTTCGAGAGGAGGTTCCCTGCGATGTGGGGAAACATCGAGTCCAGGGGTTGTTGCCTTTGGAAAGAAATCCGTGACCGAGTTCCTCCGCGGAGAGCTTCGATCCGCGTTCAAAGCCCGTGGTTACCGCTCCGAGGCGTAACGATCGAATTTAACGGGAAACGACGGGGTTCCGCGAGGAGGTCGAGCCGCGGGCTTCGATTAGCCTCTAAACGAACCGCCGCCGGGAGAACCGATTAATTAGTTAATTATGATCGAAGGAGAAACGCTGGTCGGATTTTCAAGCACGGTCCGCATAAATGAATATCTAATCCCGGATAAGTGACGGATATCGGGCGAAACCCTTCTCGCGTCAGCCTCGATGCTAGCCGAACGAATAAACAAGCTTATCGATAAGCTACAAGCAGCGCAGCACGTGTATCTCGTTAGATGTATCCGATGTCTCGACGGAGCACATACATACGGTATATCTAACGTCGGTGAGTTAAAGGTTAAGCTGCCGGTCGGCGGCGCGTTCCGCGTGCGCCGTTGGTACGCTACGCTGGAACCTTTTATCAGGGAGATACGGTACGGGGAATTCGGCTAGGATGATCCGACGGGTCCCGAAGAAATTGGACAGCTTTACGAGCGCAAAACATAGCGGACGGTGGACGTTCGTCAAACGTTCCCGGGCCTGTCTACCTTTTTTGCTAGCGGCGTCGATCCTCTTTATTTTTCATCCTCGATCCCCGAGATCCCCGGCCTCGCTACACGCGTGCAATTTCCATAAATCGGCCGTTACGATCCTGTTCAATCGGAGGAGGAGGAGGAGGAGGAGGTGGTCCTCGTTCTTCAAGCGAGTTTTCCTGATTCCTGCAATTTCCCTAGCGCAATCTTAACAATTCCTTGATCGTTTAATACAACACGAATATATCCCGCCGGTGTTGCTATCTCTCCGACTATTCTACATAATTGTTCGAAATCATTTCCAGTTACCGGTCAAAGTTTCGTCGACTTTGAACATTTCCGGGGAAAATGTATTATTATCGGGACACGGAGAAAAATGATTGTCAGTAGTAGTATCTTTTATGCTCTCGGCCAACTTATGGAATGACCTTCCGAGGGAATGTAACTGTGACCGAAGAAACTAAACCGATCCACGTGATTCCCGAACCGGCGATCGTTTGGCAACCGGGGGAAAAATGTAAAAGGAAGA